CCCCCCCCCCCCCCCCCCCCGAAATGGGCGACACAGTAGTGGAAGGTGGTTCTTAAAGAGACAGAGGCCAATTTTAAGGCATTTAGAAGAGGAAGTGATGAGAAGATAAGTTTATTTTCTATTTAAACATAAAAAAAGCATTTTAATAACAGCTAAAGGTGACATAGATACTTTATTATGGTACAGTATTTAAATGTACACCTGAGAAACACATAATATTGCCCCTTTAACCAATATTTTTTTTTTGGTAAAATATCTTTTATACCTTGTCCAAGTGAAACACCCTACTTTTGGTTTGACACCTGCAAACTGAATGACACAGGACTTCTTCCTGCTTCATACCATTTAATGTCACCAAATTTATCTGTACAGAAAACAATTGTGGTTGGTGGTAGTCTGGCTGTAACTCCTACCCATACACAGCACAATGGGGACACAGTCAACTCATAATAACATCTGAGCACACCAGCACGAGGCACAGCTGCTAACAGAGTCAGCTAACTTACTCTGTACAGGCAACATAAACTGCAGCTTTACAAACTCTTGGCAGTAAAGTTATAACAAAGTCACAACTTCATCTAACAAAACATTTGCCTCTAGAAGTTTGTACCACTGAAAGTGGTGCACCCTTTTTTAAACCATCAGTGCACAGAATACGAAGTAAGCTGTCCACAAACACCAGTTCGCATCTCTAATCATGAAATTGGTTGATGTTCAAAAGAAATGAGCTCACTGGGGTTCTGGGACTTCTCACTCCTCTTTTCTCAGTTCTACCCCCCCCAACATTTCTGACCAAACTGGTGCTGATACTGTTGCACCAGGTTTTGACAACAACAAAAGAGTTGGTGGATAATCTGCAATGGATGTTTGTGTCACATTGATTTTAGCCCTTTTTGTTTTGATAACAGTTTGACTGGAAACAGTTGTATAAGACCTCTGGTGGGGGAATTCACAGGGAATAATCAATGCAGGGAAAAGAGAATCATGATGTCAGAGATTTCTTTCACTGATAAAGTAAATCTTCACAGCCACATTTATGCCACTCTGTGAGTGAGGCACCAGCATCACTAAGGACTGATTACAGCATTCAGTAAACTTTGTGTTTTGAAAGCCAAACACCAACCAACACGGATCAAGAACTCTGCTGGTGAAGCTCATTCAGAGATCCCATTAAATGAAAATGAAGGCAAATAGACTTTTCCTAATTTGTGAAGATATTTTTCTTCCAATATTAATAGTTTCTCAATTCAAACTGAAAAGTGTGAAGTTCCGAGCATTTAAACTGTGGGTAATTAACTAACCTGCACTGTAGGAACAAAAAAGGCCTTACCATTTGTACCATTTGTTCTGAATGTTAAAGTCACATTTTGGACAAAGAAGACTGGCACAGCAGCACAGTGCCTCAACTGGTAGAGTTGTTGCCTTTTAGCAAGAAGGTTGCCGAATCAAATCCTGGCCCGGGGACCGTTCTAGGTAGAGTTTGCATGTTCTTTCCGTGCATGTGTGGATTTTCTAGGTACTCTGGTTTCCTCCCACAGACCAAAAATTAACTGGTAAATCTAAATTGTCCCTAGGTGTGAGTGAATGGTTGTTTGTGCCTTTGTGGTCTTGTGATGGACTTAGAGACCTGTCTAGGGTGTATCCCACCTCTCACACAGTGACTGAAAGAAGGAAGTGGGTAAAAAAATGGATAGATGAATGGATGAAAACTGTGGCATGTACTGGATGCAGTTAATGCTTTGCTGAACCCTTTTTTTTTTAAGTTTGTCTCTACCCTTTTGCATATTTAGGATAAACTTTGACCCATTCTTTGAATAATAGCTACAGCTCAGTCAGATTGAATGGGGAGTCTCTGTGAACAGCAGTTTTCAAGTCTTGACACAAATTTTCAGCTGGAGTTCAGTCTGTTCAGACTGGTTCCTATGAATAATCATTGGTCTGAATCAGTCCATTGTAGCTCTTGCTGGATGTTTCAGGATGTCACCCATTCCCCACCAACTCTGATCAATTTTCCTGTCCCTGCTGAAGAAAATCATCTGCACTGCATGGTGCTGTCACCACCATGTTTCACAGTGGGGATGATATGCACCATATAGCATTCTACATTTAGACCAGACCATTTTTCATTTTGTTCACATCTGTACAGAGCTGCTCCTTCCACACGTCTGCTGTGTCCCTACATGACTTGTGACAAACTACAAACAAGCCTGTTTTTTTTTCTTCCCCAACAGTGGCTTTCTTCTTGCCACACTTCTATTAAAAGGTCAGATTTCTGGATGCACAACTAATGACCATCTTGGGGACAGATTGTCCCTCCTAAGCTTCTCTGATTAATGCTCTCCTTGTTTCGTCTGTCAGTTTAGGTGGAAAGTCATGTCTTGATAAGTTTGTTGTTCTGTCATGCTCTTTTCATTTTCAAAGGTAGGATTGGACAGAGCTCTGTAAACTTGGGATATTGTTTTCATAATCTAATCCTCCTTTAAACATCTCAACGGTTTATCCCTGAGTTCCTTTATCATCATCATGCTGTTTGGTGAGCTGGAATTTTACTGAGATTAAATGACAAACATGCAGGCTGTTTACTTATTAGGTGACTCCTGAAGGGTTGGACTGGATTTTAGTTAGAGAGATCAGAGTGTAAAGGAAGAATGTATACAGAATAAATGTACATCACACTTTTTAAAATAAAATTTTGCATTTTTGTTATTTGTATTTTCCACCCATCCATTATTAATTCCTGCTTCTTCCTCTCAGGATCATGGGGGTCACTGGTGCCCATATCCAGCAGTCACAGTGCGAGAAGTGGGGTACACCCTTGACAGGTCTCAAGCCCATCACAGGGCCTGTTTTTTTAGTTTGAAAATGATTTTCAATGAAAAACAAAATTCCTTCAAAAACAATATTAAAGGTTTACTTGGCTTCAATATAATTTAGTTTATTCAGGAACTCTTTTTTTTTATCAACACTTAAACAGTTGAAATTAAAATGATTCCTGACTAAATGACCTAAATTAAAATAGTTGTAGTGTTGTCTCTCTCTCCATGGGGGAGTATAATTGAAATATAAAATAATTTCTCCGGGTGTTTCCCAGCTGCCTGATACAAAACACGTCATCAAAAGTCTCATTTGTTAAAATTGTATTTATTTTGTAATGATGTACAAAAACAAGGTTTAAAATTTTCAGTGAGAAAAAATAGCTCTAGACTTTGTTCTGCTCCTTCTGGTTTGGGCCTCAGGGTTTGCCGTAGTGTTCAGTGCATTCAAAACAAAAAAGGTCTGGTTTTATTAAAGCCGCTCTGACTGAAGGAGGGAACAGAGGGGAGTGTGATAAAACCAACAGAGTCAGTACTTAAGTGAGGCCTGTATGAGAGAAGTGTCTACAGTTCATGCAGAAGCTTCAACACAGAGACTTTCAGAAGGTTTCCCAAAGGCCAAAATAAGACAATAATGCCAGCTTTTCCTCTGGAATAAAAGGAGGAATGCAAGATTAACAATAGATACAGTACAACCCCAATTCAGAAATGTTTGAAGAATGGGCCTCATGCAAGAACATGTTCGTATTTTTATCCTAAATTTCTCTTACTTTTGTTCGTACAAAGGGTTCGTACGAACATGTCACGTCAGATTCAACAAACTCTTCTATCTTCAGGAAAAGTGTGTAAATGAGCTGCGTAAATTCCACCTGTTCGTATCCAGCTGCTCGTGCACGCGAGAGGAGATTAGCATAATTACCACCCCAAAAACACCATATAAGGCTGTGTTTCCTGCCTCAGATATCAGGAAGTGTCCATTCATGAAAATGGCAGCGAAAACTAAAAAGAAAAACTTTACAAGTTCAGAGATTGAAGTCCGTCTGTCAGAGATCCAGAAAAGAAAATCTGTCATTTTTAGCAGGTCAGCTGTGGGATAAAAAGAGCTGCTAAAAGTATAAACAACTGTGTTAAATCATTTTCATTTATTCAGAAGACACAGCGCTGCGCACCGTAACGCCCCCCGCGCGCGCTGCGGTGGTCTCAGATGCGGGTTTGAAATAAGCATTTTAAAATGTTTTCAAAATAAGTCTGGCACTTTGGAGAAAATCCAGGACTTTATCATATATCCCCTCTGGTCTGGGAACGTCTCGGAGTCCCCCAGGTCGAGCTGGAAGGTGTCTCTGGGGAGAGCGGGGTCTTTCTCCTGCTGCCCACCCTCCCCCCTGCCGCACCTGATAGCGGATAAGCCGGCCGGACAATTTATATTGCTAGTCTAAATTATTACATTTAAAATTATAACTCTAATTCAAGCAGAATAACCTATTGTCAACATAATTATGGAGTGTAATTTATTTTCACCTCAAAATTTCTTCAAACTAACGAAATATAAAGTTATTAATGAAGAAAACCCGTCTGGATAACAGCAGACTGACTGCTGGTAAAATATACAACAGGTCTGGACCACTCGTGAATTTTGTTCGTATCTGAAGAAAATCGTAGAATACGAAAACATTGGTGAATGCCACAAATTCTCCTAAATCACTCGTACGCACAACTTAAGAACAAATCTGTGTGTACGAACGGTTCTTGCATGAGGCCCATTGTGTAAAATGTAAATAAAAACAGAATGCAATGATCAACCCATATATTCACAACAGAGCATAGTAAACACGCCCAATGTTTTAAGAAAAGGACATTTTAAATTTAGTGGAAGCAAAACATCTTAAAAAATAAAAAAGATGCACTCTTTTCATTTTCAATACATTTTGGTCAAGAAAAGTTGGCTGTTTGTCCAAATTTTGTCGATCCATGCTTTTTTTTCTTTGCATGATAGAGCCTTAACCCGCATTTGTGGATAGCACGACCAGCTGTGCACAGATTTGTGGATGTGTTTCTGAGCTCATGCAGTGATGTAACAGAATCAAACCTGTTTTTAACGCAGTGACCCTTGGGAGCCTAACGTTCAGTAACACCCAATCCTGCTCAGATTTTTGAGCAGGTTAGATCTTTTTAGAGTCTTGAGATTGTTAATAATTTGAACTTTAGATGAACAACTTTCCATAACAGAATTTCATTTGAATTTTTTTAAAGCTATTTGCTCATTTTTACTTTTGAAAAATTCAGCCCCTCTAAAATGCGCTTTATACCCCGTCCTCAAACTGACAACCTGATAATTTAACTGAATTAGTTGGAAAAATTCAGTCTTTTGTTGTCTCTGACCCAACTTTGAGATGTATTTATTAGGGGTGCAACAATACATGTACGACTGTTTAGTCGTACATGTATTGTTGCACCGTTTAGTAAAGCACTTTAACTGTTTAGTAAAGTGCTTTAGGTTCAATTCACACTACGTATGAAACAATACAGATTTTTTAACATTTATTTTATCAGCTTGTCTTCTGAGGATGCTGTGTTGAAGGATCAGTGGATCTGTGTTCGACTGCTCCACCCAGGTTGTGTTGGCGAGCACAGATCCACTGAGAAACTTGCTGTTTCAGCAACATTTAATTAAAAAACTGGGCTTTTGAGGTTAAACAAACGTTCATAATTAATTTAAATAAATTACAAGTTACAAAGGCGTGGACATTTCTCTTTTTTATTTAAAAAATATCGAACCGTGAGACTAAGGTACTGAAATGAACCAAATCATGAATCTGTATCATTGCACCTCTAGTTTTTATGTTAAATTCAAAATGACCTCTTTTTATTTTTAAGTATTTCTTAGTTTCAACATTTCATGTTTACTATTCTCCGTTGTGAATAAGAGTTTCACAAATCATTACTTTCTGTTTTTATTTACATCTTACACATCAGCCTAACATCTTTAAACTCCAGTGGCATTACGCTGTTGGAGTTTGCTTGTATGAAGGCTTTTGTAAAACCTTCTGTTTTAATTTGTAACTCACTTCATCACACACACACAGAGCATCTGGATCTCAGAAAACTATTTTACTCTTCTCAGGTTTCTTTACAAAAATAAGATTATCTTTCATTCATGTCATCAGTTAAAACAGGGTTACAAAATGAGATGATCAACTGTTATTGCACAAACTGATTACCCACAGGCAAATCATCAAAATACAAGAAAAAAAATACAAGTTCCAGTTTGATTATTTCAGACTGATGAAGACACAGCTACTTCACTCCACGCCTGCCTGAAAGAAAATGAGACGAAACATCTGCAGCAGTGTAAAAAGGATCTGGCACGATAGTGAAAATCAATAAGAAGCACAAACAAATGAACAAATCAGTAGATCGCAGTCAGTCCCCGGGGTGAGCAGACACTGGAGTTTCCATGGTGACAATGGCACACTGCTGTGAAACATCAAGTCTCCATTTTAGTGAGGAAAAAGTGCCTTGTCTGCATGTGTACGAGGAGAAAACCAGCTCCAGACACTCTGGTGTCAATTGCTTTTTCCCCACTAAGAAAAGAGGCGGCACTTGTGGAATGAACGAGAAGAAGTTTTCAAAATTAACTTCACAGTCACGATTCTTCTGTTTAACCATCAGACTAACATTATTAGTGGCATGTGCACTTTACAAATACATGTAATAATCCTAAAAATGAAAAAAAAAAATATTAATGATCATGACAATCAACTTTTAAATCATCAAAATGTGACAAAATATACAACAAACATAAAACACGTTCAATTCTCTTAAAAAAGAAAGAGAACAGTCGACAAGTAAGGATTGGTTAAGACATTAAATCAGGGTTTTATATAACAGGAATGATTTTAAATATATTAAATTTCTCCACTAAAACATCACATACCCAGTTTAAAAATCAGGCAATGAATAAAACTAATCAGATAAATGGAAAATGCTGCAGAGTACCAGAAAAAAAATACAGGCACAACATGGTAAACCTACAGCATCATTCCCATGTATTCAACTTTGTTTGGTACATTTTGGTCAGAGAAAATAAATGTGACATGCAAAGTCATGCTGCTTCTGTAGGGTTCACCCTACACAACCCTACACTTCAATGAAAGAGTCTGCAATACTTTGAAAAGACGCCTTTCAGCAACGTCAAACCCACTAAAACTATTGCACACGGCAACAAAGTTGGGAGTGAAGGCATCAAAACTGGAGCAATGAATTCTGAACTGGTCCTAGAATACATGAAACAACGCGACCAAGTTAGAAGGATAAAATGGTCAGGAAAAGTAAAGAGGTGGAAGAAAAAAAAATCCATGTTTTTCTGTCAACTGTAACTGACTGTAAGCGCTGACAAGCCAGCCCAAGGTGTTATGGAAGACGTGAATTATTAAATACAACATATTGTAAAAAAAACTGTGCTAAGTATTAAAGCCTCAGGCTGAGGATTTATTGTCAGTAAAGCAGATAAACTTTCTGGATTTTGTCTAATTAAACTTTCTCTAAAAATATTTCAATCAGTCTGTTATAGATTCCCTTTATTAAATTTACAATTGTTCTCAGTGGTTCTTTAGTTAAGTTAGCTTATTCAAAACAAAACAAAAAAAATGTGACAAATTCTAATTCAAAATAGAGTTGTACTTTGACCTCTCCCCTGACAAAATTAAAAAATAAAAAAAAAACACATCCTAATCTAAAAACTACACAGATAAATAAGGATTTAAATTGGGATGATTGCTGAGGGTGCAATGTGACCAACAACATACAGTAAAGTGCAAGGGCCTGGATACAGTTTTGCAAGTCATACACAGGAAAATACTCTGATTTTAAAGGTCTGTTTAAAGAAAATATGACCAGGTGGGTTGCTGGTGACTTTGTTGTGAACACTCAAAACTGGAACTTTGCCTGAGTCGCCAACTAGTCTAGTGAGACACTGCCTTAACCGCATCCTTCTGGGCAGTGTGTCTGAAATAAGGTGATGAATATTGGCTGGAATTGTGATTAAAAGCAGGCTGATGATACCTTAAGCAGCTAATTATGCATTTCTTTACATCTGCCTCACATTACGCAAGGCTGTAGCTACAGAACAAGAGGAGTGCATGTTATAAAAAAAACAACAATAGGTGCCTCAGACGCTGCACTCAATGCGCTGCACTCTCAACATAACCATTAAGGTCTTGCCTTGAATGCACAAGTGTGCAGAGGCAAAGAGTTGGTAGACAGAGGAAACACAATAATTAGACATTTGTTCTTATCGGGTCTTTGTTTGTTAGTGATGAACTGAAGTGACCGTCCAGCTCAGACTGGATTTGTTCATACCAAAGGAAAAAAAAAACACTGATTGTGTTCTGAAGACATTAAAAAAAACCTTTAAGATAAAGTTACTCTCACTCATTTTCTCGTTTCATACATTCGCACATAAACACATACATACATTACAGTATTCTTCCCTGTCGTCACTGGGGAGTTTCATTACTGAAGTGGAAGACGTGCTCAAAACATACATTTTGCAGATTCAATGCTCAATTTGAACTCAAAGTATACAGAAGGAAAAACATCCCTTTTTTAAAAATAATATCCAGTACCAGCTTAGGACTTGAACGGTTTGTTCTTTTGTGGGACCCCAAGGCTAAACGGAGAACAAGGCTGGGTTAGTGCAAGGCTCCTGGAGAAAGCACTAAGTGGGTCATGAAGACATACAGGTGGTGTTGGAGGAAGCAGAGGACCAGCTGAGGTGAGGTGAAGAGGCTTGTGTAGCAGTAGACCACTTTCCACAAATAAATACGAATCCTTTGCCCTGAGGAGTTATGCATGTTTGTGGCTTTGGAGCTTTAACACCTTAATGTGACCTCCACCAGCTCTTACCCCATGATCTGTATTCCCCACTGCCTCTCACTGAGACTTTTCATCGGACTCTGACAGGGTGTGATCACCAGGCAGTGACACACTCTTGTGACGGTCCCACAGCTTGTGGAGCTCAGTGGCCTCAGTCTCACTGCTGCTGGTGCCGCTGTCCCTGAAACTCGCCAGAGGTGGACGCACCTTCACGCCTTTCACCGTCACTGAGCCCTCAATGGCCTTCCGGAGCTGAAAGAGCAAATAAAATAATTAGAAATAGAAGCTCTGATTTGCATGTTTGTTGTACATCTAGGAAGTAAATGCATTTTCAAAGCTGGGACATTATTATGCTACAACTGTGTTTATATGTTAATCTGTAAAAACTCCAGTGCACATAGAGAGTTTGCAGACAAATATTGACACAAATATGTAGATTTATGCTACAATTCAGGTTATTGTTTAACAATGGGAATGAAAAGTCTGGAGTTCATTCTAGGTATTTTTTTCAATTGCTTGGCTAAAAAATAAAGGTCACACAAACTAATATTTTGAGTGACCACCATTAGCTTTGATTTCAGCATGCATTCGGTGTGGCTTCATGTCCACAAACTTCTTTGCTGTCACAACATTTATTTATGTCTAGAGCTGCATTAATGATTTGCCAAGATCTTGCATTGATAATGGGAAATTCAGACTACTGCAAAAAGTCTTCTACATCAAATCCCAAAGATTCAAAATGGTTTTCAGGTCTGGATTCTTTGCTGGCCTTTGTTTCACAACTGTTTCACAATTTGAGCCCAACGAATCCAGGCATTGTAATCTTGGAACATTTCTGTGCCATCAGGGAAGAAAAAAATCAATTGATAGAATAATCTGGTCATTCAGGTGGTCAGCTGACCTCATTCTTTGGACACGTACCATTGCTGCACCTATACCAGGGTTCCACTGCAGAAAAATTTGATTTATACAATTGGCTGCAAGTCACGCTTTAACAAGTCTTCAACTTGTAAACAGCTGTAATTAAAAATTAAAAACAAGCCTTTAATTCTCTTGTTTCCCCTGGGAAAGATCTTGTTCTCAAGAGATTTGTTATTCTGTTGATAAAAACAAGTCAAAACAAATGTTCAGTCTGTTATTGTTGTTCCTTCAACATGTATAATTCAAATGCTTAAACCCTTTAAAATGTGTTTGACATTTTGTCTTTACTTTTTAAGGGCTCTCTAGTTATTTTATAACTTTGCATTTGATGTTATTTGTGTTTAGAACATGTTTTTGAAATTATGTTTTAGTATTAAAAGAGTATATCTTAATCAATGATTATACTTTTATCTTTTCACATCTTCTGTTTTAATAAGCATTATTATATCTTTTTATTAGTTTAACAATGTTTATTAGTTTACTAATGATAGTTCATAATTAATCATTAAGTAATTGAAATATTAATCCTTTTTTCCCCATTTCAGTAGAAAGCAGAACTGAACATCTGAATATTATTATCTTAGCTTCTTCATCATCAGTGGCTTTTTTCTTTTTTTAATAGGAGAAAAAGAAAGAGAAAGAATAAAGTGAAATGTAATGAGAAAGAGTGAAAGAGAGATTGGAAGATATGTGAAATATATGTTGAGAAAACACAAGGCAGCACACCCCCACACCCTACCAACGGCCAGGTGCCCACCCCCAACTGACCACCCCCCAGACTCCGGCAGCCATCCCAGCCARCGGGCCAACCACAGCAACCAGGAGCCAGACTCCGGGAGCCCGAACAGCCCCAGGGAAGCCGGACCACCAGCCCCGCCTCCGAAGCCCCTACAAGCCCCATGTCCACCCGCAGCCCAGCACCCACCAGATGGTCAGCCCCACCCAGGACCCCATCCCCTGACGGCCAACGGGGAACGGGGGAGTGAAAAAGACCCCGACACACACACCCCACCCTCAGATGTACTGTTGATGCATGATGCTCTATAATGCAATAAAAACGGGGAAGCAGACAGGGCAGAGGCCAGCACTATGCCAGTTTCCCCTCCACCCCAACTCCAACCCCACCCTAAATGTCTAAAAGCAAACAATGTGAGTGTGCACAGGCATCAGTGGCGAGACTGTCCCATCCCGCCCCTTACATGCATAAGTGCCCACTCCCAAGTTCCTATGTGTAAATGTTATGAGGTTATGTGGTTATGAATAAATGTCTAAGGTGTACAGTAAACTTGGAGCCCAGGTGACCACAGCAAACAGATGTAAAATTGTTGCCGCAGTAACACACCTGTGC